AGGATACTAACCTTCAGAAAGACAATTTCAGTATAGCAGTAGACGTAAGCAAGACAGAAAAAGTGATATGATTCCTGTTCCCAAGGACTTGACCATCTACTACCAAGATAAATTGTTATGGAGAACAGTCAGAATTGAGAACCCACAGACCACTTACAGAGTTCTTATAACTAACTTGGAAAGAATAAGAATAGCTAAACAATAATGATAATATTAACTATGCAATATGATAAATGCTATGACAGGGATGTGTTACAGGGTTCTGTGAAAGCATATGGACAGATTTAAACACAGTCTGGGAAGGAAGGTAAGGTTAGGAGTAGGTAAGGTCAAGCTTTCCATATAAACTGATGTTTAAGCTGAGACTTCAAGAATGGATAGGAGGGGGACCAGGTATGGTGGCTCACACCTGTAATCCCACCACTTTCGGAGGCCAAGGCAGATAGATTACCTAAGGTCAGAAGTTCCAGACCAGTCTGGCCAACATGGCGAAACCCCATCTCTTCTAAAAATGCAAAAATTAGCTGGGTATGGCAGCACATGCCTGTAATCCCAGCTACTCGGAAGGCTGAGGCAGGAGAATCGCCTGAACCCGGAAGGCAAAGGTTGCAGTGACCTGAGATTTCGACATTGGACTCTAGCCTGGGTAACAACAGCGAAACTCCATGTTGCTGGGGGATGGAAGGGGGAAGAATGGATAGGAGCTATCCTCCAAGAAAAAAATTTATAGCCTAAGATTATTTCATTGTTAAATAATAAAGAGTAAAACAAAGATAAACAGAATTCAATTCTAGATATAAGGAAAAGGAAGCTTATAAAAACGAAAATCATGAAACAGAAAATAACAAGTTAGAAACAGAACATAACAGAATGTAACAAATTAGAACCTGTTAAAAGACTGTGCAGATTGTTTGCATGAAGAAAATTAAACACACACACACACACACACACACACACACACACACACACACACACACAGAAAAAGGAGGCCAGGCGCAGTCGCTCATGCCTGTAATCCCAGCACTTTGGGAGGCCCAGGCAGGTGGATCACGAGGTCAAGAGATTGAGACCGTCCTGGCCAGCTTGGTGAAACCCCGTCTCTACTAAAAAATACAAAAATTAGCTGCGTGTGGTATAATGCGCGTATAGTCCCAGCTACTCGGGAGGCTGAGGCAGAAGAACTGCTTGAACCCAGGAGGCAGAGAGTGCAGTGAGCTGAGATTTCGCCACTGCACTCCAGTTTGACGCCTGGCGACAGAGTGAGACTCTGATTCAAAAAAAAAAAGGAAATATAATAAAAAATTATAACACCATATATGAATCTCTATTACTCTATTAGTATCTATTTAAAAGTCTCAATGAAATGGATTTTTAGAAAACAGAAAACAAAAAAATAGTAAAATTTTCCCAAGAGCTAAAAGAAAACGTGAAAAGAGTAATAAGAATGAAACAAACTAAAAGAAAAATTAGAAATTTTATGATTTCTTCTAAAATTTTAAGCAATAGATAATATGCATATTATGAAGCTGGATATAACCTCAATTTTAAAAACATAATGGGAATAGGACAAAAAATAACTACAGAATCTGCTAATAGTGGACTATATCTGAACTCAAAATGAAATTCTGGTAATTCTAACACAATGGGAAGCCAAATGATCAGGCAGGGTTTATCTAAAAAATGCAAACATCATTTTATATTAGCAGTCCAGTGGTATTAAAATATAATATACACCAATTAGTTAAAAAATCAAAACTATAAAAAAACTTGAATAGATGCTGAAAATAATTTTGACATCATTTAACATCCTTTCCATATAAGAACTCCTAGAAAACAAGCTATTTTCTCAACATAATAAAAATTATCTTTTTAAAACCAGTAACTAATATCTTTCTTAATGATGAAACAGAAAAGCTGTTTTCATTAAAATCAGGAAAGACAAGGATGTCCACTGTTACTACACTATTAAACACTATCCTGCAAGTTCTGGTCAGTGCAATAAGACATGAAATAAGCAAAAACAAGTGTAACTACTAGAAAGATTATCTGTAAATAATGATTATATATCTAGACAAATACTGAGACAGAGGCAATAAAGTGTTTACAATCAGTAAGAGAATCCACTTCAGTATTTGTAAACAAAGTAAGTATTAAAAACAGAAAAACCCAGAAAACATAATGGGGGGGGAATTCTATTCAGAGTATCAATAAAACAATAAAACACCTACAAATATACAAATAAGCAATGTCTGGGTCTCAGAAAAAATAAAAAACATACTATAATTATGAATATGAAGAATGATGATTATTATGGTGCTCTGTTTTTTTCTAAAGAGAGTTTTATTGAAAGTCCAATCAAATACCAATGGGATTTTTTTTTCCCTGAAAAAGAACAGCATAATTTTAAATGTATCTGGAAGAATAAATAGGTGAGGATATCAAAGAAAAGAGGAATAGTGTGTGTGGGGGGATGGGGGGAGTGAGGAAGATGACTTGGCCTATCAGATATTAAACATATTATAAAGTTATATTAAATTAAACAGCATAATATTTATACAAAAATGATAAATGTAACTAAAAGAGTACAAATGTTAGAAAGAGCAAGATTACATGAAGAATAAATAAATAAATATATAAAAGAGTACAACTAGATTGTTTGTAACAAAAAGAATAAATGCCTGAGGGGACAGATACCCTATTTTCCATGACGTGATTATTATACATTGACATCTTATGTAGCACGTGAAATATACAAACCTACAATGTGCCCACAAAAATAAGATAAATAAAAATGATGGACAAAGCAATAGAAATAAACAGGTTTGAAGCAGAGAGCTTAATATTTAATAAAGGAAACATCAAATCAATGCCAAAGGTATAGTTTATTCAACAAATTATTAAAATAGACTATTTTCAACATCAAACTAGTTCCAGACATCATTCCACAAATCAGAATATATTTCAAAAGGAATAAACAATTAAATGAAAAATAATTACCACCTCATTCAAATAAAGATCTAGAAGGAAACACTGGGTGCAATGGCTCATGCCTGTAATCCCAGCACTTTGGGAGGCTGAGGCAGGTAACTCACTTGAGGCCATGAGTTCAAGACCAGCTTGACCAACATGGAAAAACCCTGTCTCTACTAAAAGTACAAAATTAGCTGGGTGTGATGTGTGGTCAGAAGACTAAGGCACAAGAATCACTTGAACCTGGGAAGTGGAGATTGCAGTGAGCCGAGGTTGCGCCATTGCACTCTGCCTGGGAAACAGAGCAAGACTCTGACTCAACAACAACAACAACAACAACAAAAACTAGAAGGATATAAGGAAACGAACTAGAATATTTAATTGATTTCAAGACAGAACTCTTTAAGCACAACAAATAATTGAAGAAATCCAAAGAAAAAAATTGAGAGAAATGACACATAAAACGAAAAATACATATGTTAAATGATCTGAAGCTGAAAACTGAGAACGAAACAACTAAGTAGGAAAGTTCCCACAAATAGGACAAAAGTTAATCACTCTCTTTTGCTCTCTCTCTCTCTTTCTCACACACACACACACACAGTGTCATAAAGAATTGTCCTCCTAAATTCATATCCAAGAAAATGGTTAAAAGTACTTTGTAGGTTCTTTAAGAAAAATTCCTAAATAGAAAACTAGAAAAAGGACACCAAGAGATAATTTAAAAACAGATGAAAATTTCATACAAATATACTGAAAATATTAACATCACTAGCAAAATAAATAAATAAAAATTAAAGAGATACTATGATCTGCTTCTCAAGCTATAAAGGTTAAGAAAGGGTGATTAGTATCCGGTGCTGGCGAGGTTGAAGTTACACAGGTGCTGTTATAAAATATTGGTGGCATTACAAATTATTACTCAACAGAAAGCAATTTCACAATAGATATGCATGAAATATCCTAATACAATCTGACCTAAATAATTCTATTCCTAGGACTCTATCCTGTGGCAAGAAATTAAAAACAACTTTAAATGTCCAACAGTCATAAAACTTGGTATCCTAAAAGACTATTTTTGAAGAATATTTAAATGACGAAATGCTCACAATACAAAAGAAAAAAAGTTCGTATATATCTCTATGATTCCAGTTCTGTAAAAAATTTAAAAAGTAGAACAGTGTTATACAGTTTATATTTTTCTGTTTTATATTATCTGTAATAACCAAATAATTATTTTAAGATCATTTTGAGAAAAGCTAAAAATAACCAAAACCAGTTAGGAATTACAAGAAATGAGTAAAGATTATATTTCTCCATGCACTTGGTAGTAAAAGGAATGAGAGATCTGGATAGGACTATAGCTTGAAAGAAGAATAACTGAGGAAAGGTTTGTTTTATGCTTTGTTTTGTTTAAGGTAGATAACAAACATTTTTATTAAGAGAAACAAGAAGAAATATAACATAAGGAGGTGATAACTTTTTGAAGACAGTCCTAAAGCAGGCTGAGGTGGCAGAAACCAGAAGTACAAATAGGGGAAAGAAAAAAAAAAAAACTTTTCTCAAACTGAAGATGAGCAAGAAAAGATGGCTCAATACAGAAATTTTAAAGGAGAGAGGAAGATGTAGAATTGTTTGATGTGGGAATGGTCTGAATCATCTTATTCACTCTGCATTCCTATGGGTAACTTTTTTCAAACTTGCTTCCCAATCTGTCAGAATCACTGGATTTAATTAATGAGAGATGTGACTAAGGTTTGTCTAAGTATGGGAAAAACCAAGGACATTTTACAGCTCCAATTAGTTTTCTGTGATTCAAAAGATGATTCTGAAATGCATGTAAAAGGCATAAACAATTCAAAGACACCAAACATTCTATGCAGTCCTAAAATTTTCTTTAAAAATTACTGCTCAGAAAGTTGTAAGTCAATAACATAGTATTATATACTATTTAAAATATTCACAGTATTATTCTAAACAGAGAAATACCTGAGAGTTGCTAATCATGTGAAGATTTTCCAACAACTTACCACTGCCTTGAATCCAAGTTCCTAAGTTCTCTAAGTAGCTTTTCATTTTTCTTCAGGAGATGAAAGCTCCTCCTAAATAGAGAGATTTATAAACATTTTCATCACCTTTGCAGTGAATGACATGACAGTCCCGGAAATACTTTCCACTCTACTCATGCAACTTTTACACTTTTCTTGCCTTTTCATACTTCTAACACAAAGGAGAACAGACCCTAAAAAAAACGTAAAGAATATATGTCATTATTTCCACCAGGCCTTCATACATTTCTGCTAGTGGATAGTATCAATTGGTCACTTCAACCATTCCTTGCAGATGCTGTGAGCCTCCTAAACTCATATCCAAGAAAATGGATAAAAGTACTTTGTAGATTCTTTTCAAGTCTCATAAAAATATATGAGAAAGTTGTACCTCATGAGAAATAAAATATTCACAGAATCTAAATCATTACCAAGTAGGTGTAATCCATATGGAATTTTCTTTCTTCCTTATTTTACATTTTATATATATAATTTTTAGACTATGAGGCAATGAATAGTTTTACCAAATCCCTTCTATGGGTGCTAAATATGTCCACATTATATTCATAAAATCAATGCTTGCTGAAGTAAAATACAGCTTCTCATCTTTGATTTTTCCCAAGGGACAACATATGGACCATTCTACAGCAAAAGAGAATAGAATGCATTTATACCATAACTGAGTGGCAATTACCTACATTTGGACATACCATATGGTGGCAAACTGCTCCTGAGATATAATGTGGCCTTCCTATAAGGCAGAAAATATTACCTTCTAATAAATGGAAGAGTTTAAATCAAGTAAGAGTATAAACACTAAGCAAACAGGCAGAACTCTATTTCAATGCTTGACATACATTTGAATTTAAGATGCCTTCACTGGTATCTGAGCTTCCCCACCTACCATAAATTGACAGAGAAAATACATTACTGCTCCTTCCACTACCTATAGGTTTTCATGATATAGGAATTAAAACCTAAATGTATATTAATAATGCTTTACATTAGTGTAAAATGCCAGTATTTTATGTACATTATTTAATTCTTCCCAGTATGTGAGGTGGGAACTACTCTCAATTTGTTAACTGTAGCCTGAGGCTCAAAAGTTAAGTAACTTTAAGCTAGGTCTTCTGATTTAAGCCCATGTTCTTTTCATTTAGCTCCTACCTAACTTACTTGAATAGTTCATGTGTTTATTATTAGCTTTTAATAAGGTTTTGTAACATGCATCAGAAAACAAAATAATTTTTGAAAATTAAGATTCTTTTTTTGATTTGATTTTGAATCTTGAGTCAATTTCCCAGATTCAAACCGGCAATAATCATACTGCAGTTTCTAAAAAAAAAAATTTTAAGGTTTACATAACGGTTGAAAAATGAGCTATAATTTCTAAGTCAAATAGTTCTAGTAGTTATTTTGAAAACAATAATAATTTTCTGGATTATTTTATTCCCTTGAATCCCAATATAACTCAGTGGTCTCAAAAAAAAATCTGTCTACTAGTCAAAGAACTAATTGATAGACACAATCTAGTGTGGAAAAGAACAGGAAATAAAAAAATTGATCAGAAGATGAATGAGACTGGAAAAAAAAAAAAAAAAAAAAAAACAGAAAATTTCTCCCTTATGCTTACCGTTTGTCCCAGGAATTCATTCCCAATATACTAAGAAGCAATCTGCAATAATAAAATGCTGACTGCGGTTTTTGAGGTGTTGGTTCATCTTGTTCCACAGCTTTCATGCTTAAGTCATTAAAGTGCTTCTCAACAAATTCTTTTTCTTCTGTATGTTGCTTAAGGATAGCGTTAATAACATCATTTTCTTGTTTTTCAGAAATGCACACAGGTTGCGGAGCAGGAATATTAAGTGAGATTCCAGTTCTCTGTAAGCATTCAGGACTAGTAACACCCAAATACTGCAAGAGCTCATCAAGAACATCTTCTTCATCTCTTATGGTATCCCAAGTTGGTACAGTTTCTCTAAATCTTTTAAAATGGAGAGAAAGTTCATCTTTTACTGTTATATCTTCTAAGCATTCATTAGATGTGGGAGGCTCTTCTGGCTTCTCTTGGTGAGACAATGACAGCATGAAAGATGTAGGTTCTGACAAGCTACTTACAGGAGGTGGGCCATACAGTATAGCAGAATCCCATGAATATTTTCCAGAAAGATCGCGTACTATGATTCTGACATTTGAATTGGCTGATGCAAGACCAGCAGATAAACCTCCTCCAGGCATATTCTCTTCTGATTTGATCTGGATACAGGACACTAACGTTGTATTATTTAACACAAAGAACTGGATATTTGGACTCTCAAAAAGTTCAGGAGAAAGTTCAGTACTTTCACAGTAATGATTGTCATGATTTTCACACACCTGACTTGTTAGCATAGCAGGACCACCACTCATTGGATAATGGCCCAGGTGATTTACCAGATGTGTAATAACAGTGCGGGCTGCTATAGAGATTAATCCATGCTGCATTTGAGTTTTCACTGGAAATAAAAAATATAAATGAGTGGGAATATTACTGCTTCTTAGGGAATCATATGACAATGAAACAGTAGATAACAAATAGGGATTTTGTCACATTGTTAGTATTTCCAATTTAGATTCTATATTACAGGAATGATGGCAAAAAAGGAGGAAAACCATTCTTTGATGAAGTTTTGTTTATAAGAAAGCCCTTTCTGAAATTTTTGCTAATGGATCCATACTTTAAACCAAGGCTTTTATATACAGATTGCTTTTGAAGAATCAGAAGTATTATAAATCAATCATGAAATCTCTAATACACACTAAAAAGCCAAAGAGGGCCAGGTGTGGTAGCTCATGTCTGTAATCCCAGCACTATGGGAGGTTGAGGCAGGAGGATTGCTTGAGCCCAGGAGCTTGAGACCAGCATGGGCAACATGGGGAGACTCTGTCTCTACAAATAATAACAATAATAGTAATGCTAAAATTAGATGGGCGTGGTGGCTACTGCACTCCAGCCTGGGTGTCACAGCAAGACTGTGTCTCCAACAAAACAAAACAAAACAAAACAAAACAAAACAAAACAAAACAAAACAAAACCACAATGAAATTCTATTCAACTGACAAGTTTCTTATCTCATTAATAGATTCCAGATTCAGAGTCAGTTTGTAGGTGCCTTAAATGTCACTTAATTCGGCTTTTACAGATAACATGAAAATGTTTCCAAAAAAAGTGACATTCCAAGTAAACTCTGGGAATCAGAATAAATTTAAACAGCAAGTCAGTGTAGCCAGTACCTGTATGCAAAAGGGATTTTCTCTTAAAAGCAAAAATATTTGCTAACCCTGCTTATATTTTTCTAAAGTATTCTTTAGGTTCAATGTGGTATATAGTCTAGCAGTTAGTTGTATGCAAGAAACATTTTTTTTTTTACTCAAGTACAATAAGAAGGCACTCAGGTAAGAAGCGTAGTCATACGAATAACTAAAAAAAATCATAGGAAACAGTCAAAAGAGAAAACTCAAAGAATACAGTAGTTTAAGAGACCTGGAAAGGCAAGACAACCAATGTCAGAATCTGAAGGAGGCGGAAAAGGGAGGGGAGGGTAGAGGAAAGACAGGGAACACAGGAAGAGAGAGTAATGGGGCAAAGGAGAAAGGAAATAGACAATAATTTGTCAAAGCCAACTAACTGAAGAATGTCATTCTAAGGAGAGCTAACGACTGTGAATCTGAGGACTGCTGATGTGGAAGCCAGTTCGGGATAGAGTGGTCTCGGGAAGTGTGGACAACTAATTGACTGTTATCTTAATGTGTTTCAATTAAGAGGTAGGAGGAGAGTTGTCTCTGGTAAAGAACTATTAGTCATTCATGTTAGGATGTTTAGGGGTGTGTGTGTGTGTGTGTGTGTGTGTGTGTGTATGTGTTTAAAACATTCTTGTCTCTACTTAATTTTAGATGTAATTACAGAGTGATTGTGTTTCTATATTATTTTACCACAGTAACAGAGTGATCTTGTCTGAGTATTTATATTCTCGGACAGTTAATCAGTTGAGAACACTAGCGCCTGCCAGAACAAATAAGGATTTGTCAGAATAAATACAGACTTAAGAATGTTCTGATTTACATACATGCCCAATTTTACGTGTTTAGTTTGATGACTTTTGGTAATTGTACATAATTGTGTAACCATCAACATAATCAATATAAAAAATTCCCTCATCAAAAAAGAACATATTTGATTTTATGTAAACTATACCTCAATAAACCTAACTTTAAAAAAAAAGGGAGACCAGCTTGTGCACTGGTGGTATAACCACTTTAAAAGAGGCAAGAGAAAAGAATAGTGTTAAGTTTTCAAGTCTTTAGCCTTCAAGATTCAGAACCAATACCACTGGGTATAGGTAAACCAACCAACCAGTTGCTATGCCATTAATGTTAATTCCATATTCTCCAACTCCAAAAAAGGATAGTTTCCTCTGGGCTTTGGTTGATTTTAAAATGTTACTATCAAAATTTTAATTTCCCATTATCAAGCAAGTTATGTCTACCTACATATAAATATAAACATTCCTTAGTTTATTTATTGTTTGTTTGTTTGTTTTCCAGTTCCAATTTATGAGCAGGTGCAGTGGCTCAAGCTTGTAATCCCAGTACTTTGGGAGGCTGAGGCGGGCTGATCACCTGAGGTCAGGAGTTTGAGACCAGCCTGGCCAACATGGTAAAACCGTGTCTCTACCAAAAAATACAAAAATTAACTGGGTGTGGTGAAGCCCACCTGTAGTCCCAGCTACTCGGGAGGCTGAAGCAGGAGAATTGCTTGAACCTGGCAGGAGGAAGCTGCAGTGAGCCAAGACTGTGCCACTGCACTCCAGCCTGGGCAACAAGAGTGAGACTCTGTCTTAAGAAAATAAATAAAAGTTCCAATTACATTGAGATTTTTAAAAATTATTTTTATGACTATTACTAATAACCAGCCATTCAACACTACATTAATAATACTAAATGATTAGCTTTAATTCAATCCTTCATTTTAAAGAATTTAAGCAAAGTAGAAAGTATTTTGAGCTATATGACAAGAAATAGAGAGGTAGCTTGAATCTAGTGTTTGCTTTCCCTTCCCTAATTGTAACTTTGAATATAATAAATGTTCACACTCTAACAGGATAATCTAGCTGGTATTCCTCATTTTGCACATAAGGACAAATGGGTTCACAAAGTTAAGTGATTTGCCTGCCATAGGACATGCTTTTTGCTTCGCAGCTCAGTGACATTTCCCTCTTTACTACAGCTCTAATTTCCATACTTTTTTTCTCTTTTGTTAAACTGCCTTTTTCTTTGTGACATATGGAAACAATGAATTCAAAATTTATTTTTCTCTGTGTATAAGAACTTCAAAAAAGTCTTACTTAGCATAAACTGCCAAATAAAAAGCAAGATCAATGGGAAAAACTCAAGACTAAATCATATTTTAAATGGTAACAAAAATTAAAATTAATCATTTAAAAATTTTTGACATAGAAAAAAAATTTTCTATTCTTTACTCTCCCTTTTGAGTGATATACTTAAATAGATGACTCATTCTAAGCATTAAATCCTCTTTGCATAACATAAAAGTTTACATTCTGAAGAAGGGAAAGAGTATAATTTAAGAGAAACAATCACAGAAAAGAAAAGAATCCCTGGCTTTGGTTTGCACTGTGATTCATGATCACAAATACATAAAATTCTTTAAACTCTATTTTTCTGTAAGAATTGCATACACTTATTTACAAAGTCGAGTTAAAAACTCTTACATGTAAAACTGGATGTAACAGAAACAATAAAAATTATTCAATATAAAGAGTATTATAAGTAACATAGGTCTTATGAGTTTCTTTTTCAAACTCACTTATAAATAAACTCCAAGAATGAGTCAGGTCTTTCCCTAAACCATAAACCTCCAAGCCCAGGTACCAGTCCATCCCATATATCTTCTTCTCAAAGGAGGAGACCGTGAGAATGCAGTTTAAATGAGCTTGTTCACAGGTCTGTCATACTTACCAACACTGAAAATATGTAAAGAATAAATTTAAATCTCAGATGCAGGTAAAAGTATTTTCTTCCCTAAGCTGCTTCTCTAAATTCAGGATATATGTCTATATACAAAAGGATAAAAATCTCTCAAATTATTAATTGGGCAATAAATTTATTTACACTTATTTTTGAGCTATAAACTATAAAACATACATATCTCTCTTCTACTTATCTACTAAGATATAAAGATGTACAACTCTCCAGTTTAGATATTTAAAATAAAATTCTAAAATAACCAGTCTTGTGAGAAAATGTAAAATGGAGATATCGATGCTTCTAAGGCTTTGTGTTGCTAGCATTCATTTAAATAAGTCTATTCAGGGTTGTCTTTTCAGATTGTCAGATTAAACAAACCCTACAGCATTTGCAGCAAACCCATAATTACAGATTATTATGGCATACAAAAGCAGCAAGACATAAAAAGCTGCTGCAATTCACTGCACTGTAATAGAACACGCAGAGGAAGTTAATTTTGGCAAATGCTTTAAATATTAGCTTTGCATAATAAGTACAGGTGAAACTATAATTAGGACAGAATGAATCCTTTGGAGCCCCCTTTCACTCTGACCCAGCAAATGATGACTTTTTGCTAATAAGACTACTGCCATTTGACAAAAAGCCAACTTTACTACCTTGCTTTATTCTTTAGTAAATTTAATAATTACAGCTACTCCTGCCAATAGTTCTCAAATCAGACTTGTTCAATCCAATACTGAGCTTATTAAGGACACTCAATGTTTAGAATTCTTTGGCCAAAAAAGTACTCGAAGATGATGAAGCATGCGTTAGACAAGGGTACAATGATCACTAATTTTCACATTAAAAAACACCCAGAGCATGTAGTCAACTATACACCAGAGAATCATGTACTGTTAGCTCACAGCTGTTCCTAAAAGGTCCTATATTTATCTGGTCCTTAAAACCTTTGAGGAAGTCCAAAGGGAACAACTTGATACATTTAGAGACTAGTACTGCACAGCGTATTTTATATCAATATTAAGCTAATCTATTTACATCTTTTCCTTTGCTTCTTTTACAGTGACTGTTTGATACTGGTGCAGTGAATTTTGTACAAAATCTGAAATTAAAACTTCCTCTGACATAAGCAAACTTTATTGCTTTTTTCAAGAAACATATTCTATACTGTCTTGAATAAAAACTTTGCCATTTTATACCTTAAACATGCAAAGGTCAAACTAGTATTTTCGCATAACCATATTTTTAAGTAAAATAAACATGGTATTTCATTATGTCAAATCTAAAAATATAATTTTAAATTGCTTATATAAATTTTGTCCTTTTTTTTTTTTGCTTTATTATACTGCCTGATATACCTCTTTCACATTTGAGAAACAATGTAAATCTTATATTCCTATTTCAATCATGTATTTATGCTCTAGACAAACTATCTGTACCTCATGGTCAACCCAAAACCCTAGCTCTACTTCCTGGACCTCTAAGTTCACATTTTCACTTTCATTGTATGCCATCAATCCATTATCATGGACACATGTTAGATGTTTTATTCATTTGTAACTGTTCTACCTTTAAAAATCAAACTTTTCCTTACTAGCCCACTCTTTGACTGTAACCTCCTAGTGTAGTGACTTCCCAATTGTGTTTTGTAGAGTTCTTGGAGAAGGCCCTTAGAGATAGACAAGAAAGAAGCTGGTAGGACCCCACGACTCCACTCTTCTGTGGTTCTATTTTTAAAAGTTTTCCAAATTGAGCTTCCTTATAAAATTTATTAGAAAAGGCTCTGCTACCTAAAGAAATGTTTTAAAAATAATTGTCCTAATATACCAATGATGCTTTCAGTGGTTCTCAACTGTGGCTGCATATTAGTCACATGCAGAGCTTTAAACAATCTCAGCAAATCCCTGATTAATATATCAAAATCTCTATCGATAGGAATGGAATATCAGTATTCTAATATGCAGCCAAGGCTGACAACCACTGTTCTAACTTATTACCAGCCACATTTACTTTCTGACTCACAAGGTCACTCTATTTTCTCCCAACTTAGTAGCCACTTCCTGGCAGTTTGATCCTTATCAAGCCTAGGTTTTATGGCTAAGCCATATACCAATATTCTGAAATCCACAGCTCCTTTGTATTTCACACTCATGTTACTAACTGTTGATAGGTGTAACCAAAACTCTCTGGATTTTTTTTTCTATTGGGCCCTCCGTAACTTCTGTCAATTATCTTAATTACTTAAATCTTCCTCTTCTTTCTGGTCTCAGAAGAAGGGCTAATACAAGCATCTATACTTTCTAGCTCATCCTCTCAGGGACTTCACTCTGTTAATGATACCTTTCCCACTTACTTCTCAGCTTATAAATAAGTTCAACTCTCTTTATTCCTAAAACTCTTTTAACCCTAAATCATCCTTAGCTTGCCTACTATTTTATTGCATTTTTGTTTCCTTTATTTATTTTTAAAGTCAAGCTTCTTTAGAGAATACTTTCCATGCATGATTCCACTGTCTTATTTCCTGCTTGCCCCTCAAACCACAGCCACTGATTCCACTTACTTTCTGGTGAAACTAAAGCAGATACATTTGTCAGTACTTCTGTACGTGACCTCTCTATCATTTAACACTGTTGGCTAAACTTTTAAAAGCTTTCACCTCTTTTGGTTTCTGAGAAATTACTCTCTCCTGGTTTTCCTTCCTTTTCAATGTTTTCTTCTCAGAACCCACAAATGTAAATATATATTCCTAACAAAGATCTCTCTGCTAAGATCTGGATTTGTATATACAACTAACTGTCCTTGAGATGTTTTCACATGAATATCTAATAGGTCCCCCAAGCTAAATCATTTCCAACTGTCCTACTAATTTTCCCTACCAAATCTGTACTTTCTCTAATATTCTTTACTAAAATTATTCTAGTTTGGGGAATATCTAACCAATCTCCAAGTCAGAAACCTACCTTAAATTTCTCTTCTCTTTACAAAAGACTTTGACTTTACGTCCTAAATATGTATCAAGTTCATCTTGCCCTTCCATTCCTACTACCATTCTTCAGTAACTCAACAAAAAATTTAGTTTAACCCGTCAGCAACTCTTGCTTAACCTATTGCTGCCCAAATCAATCTAATATATCAAGAGTCAGCAAACATTTTCTATAAAGGGCCAGATAATAAGTATTTTTGGTTTTGTAAGCCATGTGATCTCTACTGTATACAAAAGTAGCCATAATGACAATATGGATGGTGTTAGGCATGGGCCATAATTTACCAACTCCTATAAATTACTATTGTTAAAAGTGCTCTTAATATAAATTGTATCATGTATCTCCCTTTCTTAAAACACTTCATCAACTGCTGGGTTCCTCTAGTTTACCTCTACATCTTGTATCTACTTCTGTTTTTATACTCCTATAATATTACAATATTATTTGCTTCTATTAGATCTTTCTCTTCTATCAGAGAGAGAATGCTCTGAATGTAGAAACAATGTGGCTTAAAAATGTTACTATCTATGTACTAATAAGTAAGATTGTGCAAAGGGCTTTACATATATTATCTCACTTAGTACTTAAAACAACCTTAGAGGAAACTAATATCTGCATTTTACAAATAAGAAAACATACACAGCCATTGAGAGTCAAAATTCAAGCCAGACTCCAAAGCTACATTTTTTTATTCTATATAAATTCCATGATATATAAAATATCAAAAAGAACTTCTAAGAATAATTTAGCCAGAAGAACATGTTGTGTATCCCTAATATGAAAATCTGAAATCCAAAAATTTTGAGCATTGATATGATGTTCAAAGGAAATGCTCATTGGAGCAATTCAGATTTTGGATTTTCAGATTAGGGATGCTCAGCTGGTAAGTATAATACAAATATTTCAAAATGTGAAAAAAGCCAAAATCTTTAACACTTCTGGTCCCATGCATTTTCAGATTAGGAATAAAAGGAATGTCAACATGTAATATTAGTAATTGTGCATGTGAAGTTATTTCTTTAATAATGAACTTGTGCTATATATACATAATTAGATAAACAACTACAAAGTAAGACATACTCTCCTTCTCCAATATTTCCACTGATGGCCTCAAGTTATACCTTGAGAGAACCCAAGCAACAAGCAACAATGTTGTCCTGAAGAGAATTCATGTTACCTTCTGTTACTGGCTGGAGTTTAGAAGATCGTTCTGAGTCAGGAGAGTGCAGTGGTTCAGGCTCTTTCAGACTTTCCAAATTCATAAAAGGATCATAATCTACAGATGCCAAATCAGAGAGGCTCATGGGAAAATACCTTGGATTGCTAAAACACTGAGCTCCATAAACACATCCATGTAAAACCTGAAAATACAGGGGAAAAACCACCAAGTTTTACTTTAAATAAATAAGTAAATAAAAGTTAAAGGAGGATAAAATTCAATTGGTAACACAAGAGCTTGGCAAAAATTTTAAATATTTTAAAACATCAGGCCGGGCATGGTGGCTCAAGCCTGTAATCCCAGCACTTTGGGAGGCCGAGGTGGGTGGATCACCTGAGGTCAGAAGTTTGAGATCAGCCTGGCCAACATGGCGAAACCTCTGTCTACTAAAAATATAAAATTTAGCCAGGTATGGTGGTGGGCACCTGGAATCCAGCTACTTGGGAAGCTGAGGCAGGATATGTGCATAAGCCCTGGAGGCAGAGGTTGCAGTGAGCCGAGATTGCACCACTGCACGCCAGCATGGGTGACAGGAGTGAAACTCCATTTCAAAAAAAGAAAAAAAAATCAGGGTAAAATTTAATGCCTCTTGAAAAGAATGAATGAAATTTAATGATACTCATATGTAACAATAATCTGATTCCTCTCAAAATTTTGCAATGAAACAACAGTATCTTGTAGGAAGTACTTTTAAATTACCCTTAGGTACTATAAGCTAAATCTGTGTTCTCAGAAATTTTCGAGCTCTAAAACAATAAAAATGTTATACTGAGAAATGTTATTTAATTTTTAAAAACTCTTGGTTACCAAATAAATAATAAAGCAAGGAAGTTTACCTTATAAATGCAATTGAGAACAGATTTTTCTGTTTTATCACTTTCTGCTCCCGTAGCATGAAATGGTTGGAGCAGTGTCTTTAGAGGTATGGCCATGATCCAGTCCAGAAGGCAGAGAAGTAAAGATACTACCAACTGTAACAACAATAGAATCATTATAATTGTACACTCATAAAATATATGCTTCTTAATTATTCATCTTATTCTTGAGTTTCCAAAATTTGTTTCTGGAATCATCAACCCTAAGTTCCACTATTAAGATTTACCTAAATCTAACTGATTTTAAGATATTGTATTTGAACATTATTGTGGCTTTCTCTTTCATATGTCAAGGCAAACACAACAAAACATTAAGCATAATAAAAACAGAAATGTTAAAATTAAATTAATATAAAAACAGCAAGGTTAAAAGACAACAGATATCAATTAACTAAACTTATTTCATTGCACAAGGAATGGAACAAAAATGGAAGTCTATTTGTATTATAATCGCTTCCACTTTCCTTTTCTAACTTAACATCTCACTGACTATCCTGCCAGAAAGACTACCTTAAGTACTTTTTGAAATTGTTACTCATTTTACTAAATGAACCTTTCCACTGAACACATTTTTTTTTTTTTTTAAAGAGACACAGTCTCACTATGTTGCCTAGGCTGGCCTTGAACTCTTGGGCTCAGGCAATATTCCAGCCTCAAACTTCCAAGTAGCTGGGACTACAGGTGCACACCATCATGCCTGGATGGACACTTTTAAACTAACAGATGCTATAAACAGAACCCTTTTTATTAAAAAAAGTGAAATAAAATAGCAGAATCCATTGTATTAAAGAATCACAAATAGTGCCATGAAAGTGACAATGAAATAGCAACAAGAGACCTGCTAATCTTTAAAGACAAACTCTCCAACTCAAGTAATTCTAGTCTACATTTCCCAACATATCTTCCAAAAAAAAAAAACAATAAGGAAAAATAAGAAGGGCCAATAAAACCTCACAAAACCAATAGCTTCTGTATTATGAGAAGACAGAGAACACCCAAACTTCAAATTATCTATTAATTATTAATTTTAATTTTTGATACAGTCTTGCTCTGTCACCCAGGCTGGAGTGCAGTGGTGTGATCTCAGCTCACTGCAACCTTCACTTCCTGGGTATAAGTAATTCTTGTGCCTCAGCCACCTAAGTAACTGGGATTATAGGCATGCACCACCACACCCGGCTAATTTTTGTATTTTTAGGGGAGACAAGGTATTGCCATTTGGCCAGTCTAGTCTCAAACTCCTAGCCTCAAGTGATCTGTCTGCTTTGGCCTCTCAAAGTGCTCAGATTACAGGCATGAGCCTCAAATTATCTCTAAGTAGAAAAATATACAGCAAATCCCAGCATCTTTCTCCCATTGCAGGTTTTCATAAAAAGCAAGGGTAGTTTGGGAAAAACTGTGAAAGAGAGAAGATGGGAACTTGCTGTGAACCTAAGACTGATCTAAAACCATGCCAGAAGGAAGAAGTTCACCCTAAGTTTGAAAATATTTAAAAAGTATATTGGGAGATCAGAGTAGTCAGTAGAAAGAAAGGATGTAGAAGTACACACAGGAAAGGTAATGCTTAGGGGGAGAAGACAAACAAACCCAGACTGCAAAGACTACAATAAATACCTAACTCTTCAATGCCCACATACTGATGAACATTGACAAATATCAAGACCATCCAGGAAAACATGACTCACCAAATAAATTAAATAAGGCACCAATGACCAATCCCAGAGAGACAGAGATATGTGACCTTTCTGACAGAGAATTCAAAATGGCTGTTTTGAAGAAGCTCAACGAAATTAGAGACAACACAGAGAAGAAATTCAGAATCCTATCAGATAAATTTAACAAAGAGATTAAAATAACTAAAAAGAATCAAGCAGAAATTCTGGAGCTGAAAAATGCAACTAATATACTGAAGAATGTATCTGAGTTCTTTAATAACAGAATGGATCAAACAGAAGAGAGAATTAGTGAGACTGAAGACAGTCTATTTGAAAATACAGTCAGAGAAGACAGAAAAAAGAAGGAAAAAAGAATAAAGCACACATATAAGAGCTAGAAAAGAGCGTCAAATGGGCAAATCTAGAGTTCTTGGCCTTAAAGAGGAGATAGACAGTTTGGGATATAAAGTTTATTAAAAGGGACAAAAACAGAGAATTTCCCAAACCCAGAGAATGATATGAACACTCAAATACAAGCAGGTTATAGAACATTAAACAGATTTAATCCAAATATGACTACCTTAAGACATTTAATAATCAAACGCTCAAGGGTCAAGGATAAAAAAAATTTATAAAACCACCAAGAGAAAGGAAACAAATAACATACAATGGAGCTCTAATACATTTGGAAGCAGACTCCTCAGTGGAAATCTTACAGGCCAGGAGGGGATGGCATGACCTATTTAAAGTGCTAAAGGAAAAAACAAACATTATAAAATAATATATCTAGTGAAAATATATTCCTTGAACATACAGAAGAAACACAGACTTTTCCAGACAAACAAAAGCTAAGATATTTCATCAGTATCAGATCTGTCCCACAGAAATACTAAAGAGAATTCTTCAATCTGAAAGAAAAGAATGTTAATGAGCAATGAGAAATTATCTGAAGGTCCAAAACTCACTGGTGATAATAAATAAACAGAAAACCACAGAACTATCATAACACTGTAATGGTGGTATATAAGCTACTAGTATCTTAGGGTGAAAGACAAAAAGATGAACCAATCAAAAATAATAACTACAACTTTTCAAGAGATGGACAGTAAAATAAAATATAAAGAATAAAAAGCTAAAAAATGGGACATAAAGTTAACATGTACAGTTGTTATTAATTTTCTTTTGGCTTGTTTGTTTATGCAGTCAGGGTCAAGTTGTCATTAGTTTAAAATAATGGGTTATAAGACATTACTTGCAAGCCTCATGGTAATTTCAAATATAAACACATACAATGGATAGACAAAAAATAAAAAGCAAGAAACTACAACATACTACTAGAGAAAATCACCTTCACCAAAAAGAAAACAGGAAGGAAGGAAAGACAAGAAGACTGCAAAACAGTAAGAAAACAAATAACAAAGTGGAAGGAGTAAGTACCTACTTCTCAACAGTACCACTGAGGCTGGGCACAGTGGCTCACACTGCAATCCCAACACTTTGGGAGGCTGAGGTGGGAGGATCACCTGAGGTCAGGAGTTTGAGACCAGCCTGGCCAGCATGGTGAAACCCTGTTTCTACTAAAAATACAAAAATTAGCCAGGTGTGGTGGTGTGTGCTTGTGGTCCCAGCTACTCGGGAGGTTGAGGCAGCAGAATCATTTGAACCCAGGAGACAGAGGTTGCAGTGAGCTGAGATTGCACTACTACATTCCAGCCTGGGTCACAGAGCAAGACTGTCTCAAAAATAATAATAACAAATGAATAAAAAATTAAAACCGCTGAATGTAAATGGACTAAACTCCCCAATCAAAAGAAAGAATGGCTGAATGGATTAAAAAAATAAAACCCAACGATCTGTTGCCTACAAGAAACACACTTTGCCTGTAAATACACACAAACACTGAAAATAAAGGGATTAAGAGGATGTTCTATGCAAATGGAAACCAAAAAAGCAGGAGTAGTTATACTTACATCAGACAAAATAGATTTCAAGACAAAAAAGGTCTTTATATAATGGTAAAGGAGTTACTTCAGCAAGAGGATAAAACAATTATAAATATATATTCACCTAACACTGGAGTACTCTGATATTTAAAGCAAATATTAAAGCTAAAGAGAGATAGATGCAAACACAATAATAGCTGAAGACTTAAACACCCCACTTTTGACATTGGACATTTCATCCAGACAGAAAATCAACAGAGACTTAAATCAATTGGACTCAATGTGCCATATAGACCAAATGGACCTAATAGATACTTACAAAATAATTCATCCAATGGCTGTGGAATGCACATTCTTCTCAGCACATGCAATATTCTCAAGGATAGACCATATATTAGGCCAAAAAATAAGTCTTAACATATTTTAAAAAATTGAAATAATATTAAGTATCTTTTCTGACCCCAATGGAATAAAACTAGAAATCAAAAGTAAGAGGAAGTTTGGAAACTATACAAACACTTAGAAATTAAACAGTATCTTCCTGAATGACCTGTGGGTCGATGAAGAGATTAACAAAGAAACTGAAAAGTTTCTGGAAACAAATGATAATGGAAACACAACATACCAAACCTATGGGATACAGTGAAAGCAGTCAAAAGAGGGAAATGTATAGCTATAAGTACGTAGGTCAAAAAAGCAGAAAAACTTCAAACAACCTAACAATGCATCTTAAAGAACCAGAAAAGCAAGAGCAAACCAAACCCAAAGTAAGCAGAAGAAAAACAATAAAGATTAGAGCAGAAAAAAATAAAACTGAAATGGTAAAAATACAAAAGATCAATGAAATGAAAAATTGGTAAATGAAACAAAAAATTGACTTTTTAAAAAAGAGAAAAAAATTGAAAAATATTTAGCCACTGAGAAGAAAAGAAAGAAAACTCAAAATCAGATATGAAAGAGGAGATATTAAAAACTGATATAGCTGAAATTCAAAGATCAAGAGAGAGGCTACCATGAGCAACTATATGCCAATAAATTGAAAAACCTAGAAGAAATGGATTAATTTGTAGACATAAACAACCTATTAAGGTTGAACCATGAAGAAATGCAAAACCTGAACAGACCAATAACATGTAATGAGATTTAAGCTGGAATAAAAAGCCTCCCACCAAAGAAATGCCCAGGACCCAATGGCTTCATTTGCTGAATTCTACCAAACATTTAAAGAACTAATAGCAATCCTTCTGAAACTATTATGAAAAACAGAGGAGGGAGTATTTCCAAACTCATTCTATGATGCCATTATTACCCTGATACTAAAACAAAAGACATCAGAAAAAAGAAAACTACAGGCCAATATTCCTGATGAACAGTGACACAAAAAATCCTCAATAAAATACTGGCAAACCAAATTCAACAATACATTAGAAAAATCACTCAACACGACCAAGGGAGATTTATTCCAAGGATTCAAGGATGGTTCAACATATACAAATCA